GGACTTTTTAAATGAGATTGGCTTATATTCGCGTTAAATATAGGCAGCAAAAATCCACGAAAACTGCCATGTAGCTAGCCCATTTGCCAGGATTTAAATTCGATTCAAACTGCCAGTTTCTACTAGGTCACTGCGGGCTTTTGATGTATCTTTATAAAAAATCTTTGCAAAGTAATCGCGGACGCATAGTTATTGGTTTTTAATTTGGTTTGGTTTTATATGATTACGGCAAATCCTCGAGAGCTATCTGCCTAAGAAGATGGATGCCTTCGTGGAGGACTTTCTAAGGGATAGTGGCTCGTATACACGTTAAACGTGGGGAAAATCACGAAAACGCCCTTGCAGCCAGCCCGTTCGCGAATTACCAGTGTTCATCGACGTTTACTGATCGGCCGCTGGTAGGCCACAATTATTGAGTACCAACGGATTAATTAAGTTAGGAATTTAATAACTTTCATTTGTAGTGCTGCTATCAGCACTGACATTTGGAGAGGTTATTTTCTAATGAAATTCTTTTAATGTAATTAATTTAATTCTTTAGCTAATTGTTCCTCTGACTAATTTTTGTGCGCAGTATATGTAACCCTTTCATACATTAACTGTTTTACTTAACTTATACTCCATTAATTTTAAGCGATTTTATACCGGTAGATTTCTTTCCAAAAAAGTTCCAAGAAATGCATATTTTTTCCCTAGATTTTAAAACTAATTTGTATTTCAAATCTTAATAATAAAATTTTTAAAAACAAATATTTCTAGAAATTGCTGCGGCATATGAATTTATTCGATTTAATTGAAGTTTTCGAGTAGAATATCTTCCTTTCGACATCCAAGAAATTTTTATATGTCAGTTCGCTTTTATAAGCAACACACAGCCACATATACGAGTAGAAAAATCGGGCATGCTGAAAGCACAGTTTTCCTATTTCAAAGTGTAAAATGGAAAAATGTAATATTAAAAACACCGGCACTTGAAATACGAGGGCAAACAAGATAGATGTTTTCAGCATTTTATATTTTCCTACTCTTGACGAATCAGAAATTGTAATCAACTTATAATGCTAAAATAAAATATTTAATTGTATAATATATGATTTATTAAAAAGTACATCTTACGTTACAATTATTATTTTTTCCTGTTTCATCTAAATTTCGGTAAAGTATTGTAACAATTCGGTAAAGTATTTGCTTCACTTTCATTTGCGTAAATAACAAGGCAAACTGTTGTAAAACAATTTATCTTCATTTACAAGCTTATAGTCGTGAGAAAGATAACACACACCTGCTGTCTGACAGTGATACTTCATTTTCAGGACCCATCCGTAAAGTGTTCTTTTCAAACAGACTTCACACCCTATTAAGACCTTTGTGTTAACTGACAGGCGCCTGCAGAAAGGTAGGGGAAGGAAGACCAGATTGCATCGTCTAAACATGTCTTAAGCAATCTTCGCGAAATTTGGGCTTCGTGTATACACGTCTTAAACATTTTTCGTGCGATTTGAAATTCGTATAAACACGTCTTAAGCATTTTTAAAGAAACTCCAAAAATGTTTAAACACGTCTTAAGCAGTTAAAGGGTTAATGATCTAATATTTGCCTCTGATCTGAGTTAGTGTCGAATTAACTCCAGCATGGAATACCTTTTCATACGAGTCCATGATGATCAACTCGATGAACTTTCATTTAAAGGGAAATAGTGTTTTAAATTCTCGTGACAGTCTGCAAATTGAATGCCACCTTTCAATCGAAGAATTCCCTTCTCATCAAGCCTTGGATTAAGAGAGTAGATGGAAGAATCGAGAATTGATTTTTTATTTGACAACTTAATTATTTCCACTTGATATGATTCTTGTTGCATAATTTTTACCTAATAATGTTCAGCTGCTTCAAACTCAAAAGCATTCTCTGTAGACCTTTTCAGAAGCCTCCTAATAAATCTCAATACATAGGCAGTAATTCGAAGTAATTTTCCTAAAGAACTGAATTTTCCTATATCTAGAATTGGGGATTCATTGTCAATTACAGGTGTAGTCAAAATAATACTTTTTCTTAACTCTAACGATTCTGCTTAACTAGTGACTGAGCACTAATGCCTCGAGTCAGTAAATCTGAAGGATTTTGTTTTCCTTCGCAGTGGTTCTACAATTTTTTGTTGCATATATCCTGTATTTCCGTAACACGATTGGCAATAAATGGTTTTCAATTATTTGGCGAACCTTTAATCCAAGTAATGGAGATTTCGGAATTGCTCCAAAAATAAACATCTTCAATTAAATCACCAAACAATTTTTTTTTTAATATTTATACTTTCGAGCAGCCATGAGTGCTCCCATTAACTCTAAACGAGGAAGTGTGATTGATCTTAAAGGTGCAACCATGCATTTCGACATGAGAAAGGAAGTTTTAATTTCTGAATCACTCGTACAGTAACTGAAATATTTGATGGCCCCATATGCTTTAAGACTAGCGTCCGAAAATAGGTGAAGGCTTATGTTCATTGGATCGTCATCAAAGAAATTTTGCTGTATCAATATTTCAGTTAAATCACTAAGTTCCATCCCGCCAAATGTTGAATTTGTCCTTTAATCTCTGCAGGAAGGACCGTCATCCCGAGTCAGAACCTGGAACACCAGATATCTTGCACAATAATTTTCGTCCGAAAAACAAAGGGCGCAATAAATCTAAATGGATCGTATATTTGGGTGATATTTTGCAAAAGTTTCCTTTTTGTAGTAAAATCGTTTTTAATAGAAAAGTCTTAAATTTAACTTTATATTGTCTTCAGTGGAATTCCAAGTCATGCCTAAAAAATTCAATTCACTAGTTAATTTGTTATCTGATTCCTTAATCCCATTTAAGACCTGTAAATCGTTTAATGCTTTAGAACTAGTTCTTAATTTTCTGAAATTCATCCCAGCATTCTTAAATATGTTAATCGCATCTACAGATAACTGATATGGATCTTCAATCGTTCCTGCTCCAAAATATAGGTCGTCGACATAGACGAAGAATTTAACATTTTGAAACTGTCCGGCATTTTATCTTTATATTTCCGAATGTTATATTTTATAGTGATGGCCAAAATGAAAGGAGATACAGTAATCCAGACCTCAAAGCTAAAAACTTTCTGCGCATGCGTTGCATGCTTTTGCATTCCAGAATTCATCCCCATCAATTAATATCTCAACATATGTGTTATTTTTTCTAGAGCAATCCACGATCTGCAACCCCAGATGTTCCATGAAGTCTGCAATTTGTTTAATAGGCACACTGATGGGTGCCCAGGAAATAACATCCAAGATTAAATATTCAATTTTTATTTTATTATTTTGTTTCCAATTCTGAATTTGGATTTCAGCGGCTGAATAGGAATGAGTCATTGCCTTGGTCACACCAAATGAATATCTTTAATAATGGATTGGAGTAAGTTTTAAATAGTTGGCCAATTTTTTCGTTATAAAGGATATGTGACTGCCTTGATCAAGAATTAATCTAATTAATTTTGATTTACATTTAGAGCAAGCATAAACTGTACAAGTTTGTAATAATATTTCCCTGGCAGTACAGTCATTATTATTATTACGTTGAGAAACAGAAGATATCTATTTTAAGTTTTGAACTCTATTATTTTTGTCAGAATTCAGTCAGAGATTCATTTTCATTTTCGGAATAACCTTGTTCCGACTTTTTGTTTACAGGGGATTTATTAGTACAAATCGATTCATTGTGACACATACCGCCACATTTATTACATTTAGTTTTATTTCTACAATTTTTTTATGTATGAAATTTTTTAAAACAAGAATAGCAGCAGTTTTCGTATCTTAGTTTCTTTAATTTATCAGAAACATTCACTTCGCATTTAAATGACTCTTGCAAATTATCACATATGATGCATTTTCGGTTAACTGCAGTATGAAATTTAGCCGTGGGTGTATTTTTTACATATTTTCTAGTTTCATATTTTGATTGATCGACTCGCAGAGGCACAGGATTTTCCCTTTCATTTAATACTAGGTTTGAAACTTTCCTGCATTCTATTTCCTTTTTAATAAATTGTCTTCATTCCGAAACTTCAACTTTCAATCTTTCAATCCTCTTTGCCGATTAAATTCCAAAACTAAATCGTCCGGAATTACTTTTAATATTATTGGAATTAGTAAATGTCTATATGAGCCAGAAGTTTCCTCTAAAGCTTCCAAATTAGAAATCGAAACTTCTAATTCATCGTACAATTTACGTAAAGCCTCTACATTAGCAGAATTTTTAACGGCTTCTAAATTGAGAATTTTATTCATGAATGAATTAATGATCAGGTCTTTTCAACCATATCTATCCTTTAGTGATTTTACGCAACTATCATAATTACTTTCTGTTAATTCAGAGCCTGAAACAATTTTTGAAGCTTGTCCGATTAAGAATGTTTTCAAATTTTGTATTTTTGAAAGCATTTCGTTTTTATCTGTCGGATTTTTGAAAGTATTCCACAATTCATTCCATTGTTTAGGGTCTTCCCAAAATTTATCAGTCATTAATTTTGGTAATTTCAGCGTACTACTTCCACTAGAACTCAGTCTAGTTATTACATGTGTGGAGAAATCATTTTATAAATGTAAATTTTTTCTTTGTTAGCATACTAATAATAAGAGTTTGAATTTTTATTTTTTTATTATTTGTATGCATTATCGTATAATGTTCATAACTGTGTTCTGTGAGCAGTTTTAATTTTGCTATGAACTCTCAAAAATGTAAATTATTCTATTAAATAATATGTCAAGGAAATTTTAATTTTATGTTGATTGGTCAAAAGGTTAAATATTTGAAAAAAGTAAAATTTTAATAAACTATTTCATTAATAAACTATTTCAAAATACATTGTTGCCTAAAATTAACCTAAATTCTGTTCTAAATTATAGGTAATAAAAATTTTTCTAAATAGCAATATGTTTTAAGTGAACCTTAAAGAGATTGCTTTTGAAGTTAATTAAATCTTATTATCCTTCTCAGGCATGAAAATAAAGATCTTCTATATGCAAATTGTCATTAGGAAACATAGAGAAGAGAAGGGAAATCTCTGAAGTCGCACCATTCTGAACATACAAATAAAGGAAGCTGTACTCAAGGCTTTTAAAAGGTTGTTATTATTATTATTTTCCTTGAATGATTTTTTATAATTTAAAATGAATTAATTCATGCAAAAAATTTTAACAATTGAAAGAGGGGTTTGTATAATAGTGTGCATTCAAGCAAAATTTTGCAAATTTTATAAAAGCAGAAATTCCTTTCCAGACCTCACAAAAAAAAAAAAAAACGACATATTCCTTTTGCCATGAATAGATGTTTTATTGAACATGCCCTTTGTACTCAATATTAAATTCTCGGCCCAATTGCTATAATGACTTCGAATAATTTTTTTTTTTTTTTTACCTTGGAGAACCTTTGCTAGAACTAAATTAAAAATTCATTTGAAATTTTTATACAAGACATTCAAACATTGAACAGGGTGATTAAAAATTGAAAATTTATGTACAGCAAATATTTTTTTTAAGTTTTCAACATGTTCTTAATTTTGAAGATTGTGTTCCTTGTGTTTAGTGAATAATAAGTATTTTAGGATGAATTTAGTCTGATATGATATAGTCAGATTTTGTCATCCTCTCTTGCATTCTATGCATATTTTAAAGCTGTCGAGAATAATAAGTATCTGTTATAAAGTCCAATGCACTTGAAATGTAAAGTTATATTTTTAAATTTGTTTTGAATTGTTTAGCAAAGAAAATTTAATGATCTTACTAACTATAGATATTTTCTTCTTATTCTGTAACTTTATTGACAGTATTTAAAATTTTGCTTCCCTGTGATTATCCACATCCCGTTCGCCAAAAGTCAGCAATCATTGCCGATTAATATTTTGTTGAGCTAAGAAGTGGAAAACAGCAGTCATTTTAAAAGATGACGCTGCATTAAGAATTACATGAAATAGACCGAGTGAACACAACTTAAAATGCAAGAAACATCCATAATAAAATGTCCCCCCTTTTTTTTTTGCTTAAGCAACATTGACTGCCATACTGATGAACCTGGGTTTGAATCCCAAAGAAGTTATGAATGTTTGTAAGCATATAGCATCTGTGCCGAAAGGAGACATTAAAAATGCACGGCGAGCTGGAAGCCATTTTGATAATTTGGTGGTAGGTGAAGAGGGGTGCAAGTCTTCACTACACCCTGGGGTGCTCTTCCTCAAAATTGTTGCAGAACTGCACTGTTAGTTGGGCAAAATTATACCTGTACAAACTGGTGATGGAATTCTAGTGTCACACCCACTTCTGCCTGTATCTGCTGTAGTTCCCACATACACAGCTATCTGTTTTAATTTTAGAAAACACCAGAAAGTTACAGAAATGTGGTATCATACACAACTTGGCACTTGCTCTGGAGCAGCTTGCAAAAAGGTTATGGGGTAACATGAAGTCTGCTGGGAGGGTCGGGCTGCACCTCTCATATTGCATGACAACTTGGCACTGTGCTTATTGTCTGATCTGCCCATGTACAAGCAATCTGTGTTTGTTTAAAACAACATTAGACAATGACAGAAATTTTTCATTTTACATGCTGTTATTTTCGAAGTTACTCAGCAGTCTATTTTTCAGTATAAAAATCATCAGAAAATTGCACAATTTTTTTCTATAAAATTCACTTTTTTTTTGTAAGTACCTAATTGTGGAATGCTAGGCAACAGCCATATTTTTGAAGAAATACAATGCTTTATTTTTCGTTAGCTGGCACTCTCAGTCAAACTCCTCAGTCCCATTATATTGCTTTAGAAGGAAAAAAGAATGCAATAAATGCCACAAAAAGAAGTTTCAATGACCGTTGAATTTAAAAGAAAGGGCCAAAATTGGAAATCGCTGGTTGTCCGCTACGTGTCCCTTCATACCTGGATTGTCACATAGATACATTTAGGCACAATTGTGTATTGCCTGTTAAAAGCTGTAGAATTCATTATTTATATTCAAACATATATTGTTTATATAATCTTTAGAATGTTATAAAGGTAACAAAATATTAAAATAAATTAATAAACTTAAATTTATTAATTTGCTGTTGAGTTTTATGCAAATTAAGTTATATTGCATCATTCTGTATGCATTAGTGAGAGATGCAAGATAGATAATAGTTTTGTTTATCTGAAGTAGAATTGAAAGCTTGAGAATTTTTGCTTAGTCTGTCAAAATTTTGAAATGGCTCATAAACCTCTAGAAATTATGGTTGAAGAAAGGAAAAAAAAATTATCTGTTTATGTAATTAGAATAAACCACTGAGAGCTGTTGGTGATGTAGTGAATAGAAGTCAATGTGCAGTAAGAAATGTGATAAATTTTAAATTGTTTGGTAGTGTGATAATTGCACCTAGAAACGGCCACCTTATAAAAAAAAAAAAAAAAAAAAAAAAAAACTGACTCGTAAAGAAGAGGAAAAAGTTGCCAATATTATTAATGCAAAAATTTCTTCAAATGCTATCACAGACAATGCTCAGTGAAGACTTTAACAGACAAAATCTGCTGCTTGGCATAATTTATGACCAGTTACTATATTTCATGATGATATTTCCATATCGCGAGCAAAAGGTGAAATTTTCCAGTTAATGGAATTTGTGGAAAAAATGTGGAGGATTGATGGTAAATGAAGATAATAAAGCAGAAGTTTTCTATTGCAGTGACAGTTCACCAATTCTGAATCAATTAATTGATGGTGAAATTTTTAATAGTCGAATAGTTTTAATCTAGAAAATATTACTACTGATAATAAAGTGACAAATATGTTTGATAGAATTAAAAGATTTCTAATGAAAGTTTAATGAGAATTCTCATGACTGTAGTTACAAGATCTGAACAGTGCAATTTGGTAATTAACAAGAAATTTATGTCTGACTTTAAAATTGAAGAGTAAGCATTAGCTCAAAAATGAAATGAATGGCTTGAAAGAAATCTTTTAGTAAAACAAATGAATTGATATTGAACCTTTTTTATACATCTTGAGTCCCTTAAAATCATAAATGCTTCATTATTTCATAAGCAACCATTTTATAATTTTTATTTTATAATTTCTGTATATCATTTTCTAAATTTAAATTAAATCTGAAATTTTTCAAGTCCCAAAGATTACGTGTATCAGACTTTGAACTGTATGCATAATAATGCGTTCAAGAATTTAACTTTCCATAACTTGCAAATCCATGAAGACTGGATTTGTGATGATATCAGAGATCATGTGACTTGTGCGTATATGAAATTTAAAAAAATACACAACTTGCACTGGGTCTTAAACATATCTTAAATTTAAATTAATAAACATTAAGAATACAACATTTGCAAGTGGACTGTTTATCACCTTATTTATTCAGCAGTTTCATCTTTAGAACTCAACACAGCAAAAAGCAAGTGTGAAAGTTAGTTAGCATTTACGAGAATAAAAAAAAAATAATAATAATCAAAATACGAATTGCGCGATGCGAAATAAGATCTCACAAACAGCTAGACGACCTGGTGGCCGAAACATTCCGCCCGGCATTGACAAAAATATGAAATTAAATGCAATTGTTCTCAAAACAGATACAAAGAAGCCTTGATATAATTCAGGAACTTAATTATATTTAAAGCAAAACACAAAGTTGTAATGTTTTACAAAAAAATCTGAAGCACTAGTAGACAAAACACCAAATTTGTGAATTGGCCTTTTGAAAACTCCATTAGCAGTTTGGAGCTTCACAATATGCACAATAATATCTGCACTAGGAAAAACTTCCAGAATTCTTCCTAATTTTCCATCATAGCATGGGTAAATTGTCTTCCTTTATGATAACTAAATCATTAATCTTTAAATTATGCTGCTCTTTAAACCACTTAGAACATCATCATAAATTAAAAATATATTCATTGGACCATCTTTTACAAAAACTTTGAAACGTTTTCTCAACAAGCTTCCAGCATTGTAATATGGGAATTTTTTGATTGTGTAAGCTTTCTTCAGGCAAGGCAGTTAGCAGAGTACCAATTAAGAAATGGCCTGGCACAGGTGCAGAGAATTCTGATGAATCTTTAGACATTGGCCCAAAGGTTGCGAATTTAACGCGTTGATGCCGGCATGACCCACTGGTGGCCCATGCTTGTCTGTTCCATGGGGCGGCACATATCGCCAATGGCACACGTTTGTATATAAAAAAATATGTAGTATAAAATGTAATTTTATTGATTAACATTATACATTAACATTTCTACCTTATAATCAAACATTTAACACAAAATACATAACTTATAATTTAATCAATACATTAAATATAACAAAATATAACTACTTATGTTACCGATGCAATTTTTTAAAGCATTTTAAACAAAGTGCTGGCTTATCCGGACAATTGCTACAGAAGGTCATTACTTTTTTGTTTTGTTTGTGGCGTACTGTGTATCTTTTATGTTTGTTAAGCGTTTGTAATACTCTTTACATCTTTTCCTCATCTTCCTAGCGGATCCTTGGTGTGAACTTAAAAAATGCTTTTTCCGTCTGCTTACTATTAATTCTTGACTAAGGGCGTTCTCAACACTCTTCAATAGATAATCAATAACTTTTCCTCTAAATTATAAAATTTGGTAACGCTTGGTTCCCCACTTTTTGTGGATGTACCACACATTTACTAAAGAGGCCCCACATATTAGCTCCATGACAACTTTTTGATACTGTTTTATCGTTTTCCGTAAACATTTATAATATAAAGACATTTGGTCATATATATCAACTCCCTTTTTCGCACCATTGTAAGAAAAAACGGTATCTGGTTTTAATTTATCATCTTTTTTATGAATAATGGCGCAATTTTGAGATCTCGAATTGGTTAACATGCACAGGGGTCTTTTGTCGGAAACTTTAAAAATTTCAAGCTGCGTCGAATTTCAAGAGATATAATGCCGTCCCGTTTCTGTTTGTGCTTTGCCTGTGGTGGTAGAAATTTTCTATTCATTCTTCCACAGATATACGTTCTTTTAGTGAGAAGATCTTCAGTTAAAGGAATACTTGTATAAAGACTGTCAGGAAATAAAATCCGGCCCTTGAGTAATAGATCTATCAATTTCATGACTACATCATAAGAGTTTCATAATAATACATCATAATCGAATTTTTACAATACTCGTTTCATTTTTTTCCAGAATAAATATGCATATTGTATGTATATCTGTCCGGAAGGCAGAGTTTGTACAGTTTTATTCCCTACTTGATATATTGATGAAAACTAAGGCGCCCTTTCCAAGGAACCATGCTTTTGTCAATTACTATATTTTTACCGGGTTTTACTGCATCTATGAATGTGCGAAGAATTTTATGAACTACATTTCGCAGTTTACGTAACCGATCCTCGGTTGTAGTTGTTTCTTTATCACAAAAGTGCAAGTATTTCAATATTGCTAAGAATTGATCGCATTTCATTGCTTTCTGTTTACGCGCATTCGCATACATCCCCTTTTTGGACCAATATAATTGAATTTTGGGTACCTGCACTGCACCCATAGTAAGCAAGATACCCAATAAATTTATTCAATTCACTTTTTGTAACGGATTTCCATGCTAGTTGATGTTGTCTCCTGCCATATGCCACATTCGCTATGCACTGTTCAGTGTACCTATTCTTCTCTTCAACGATGATCTCCAATGTCTTGTCCGTGAAGAATAATTTATATAATGCAACAGGATCATTGCAGTCCGTCTCTTCGATCAGTAGCTCTTCTTCTCAAATTCTCTTCCTCTGATGCAGATTTTTCTGCCATTCCGAGTCATCATCTTGGTCAAATACATCAGACTCCCAAACTTCTTCCTCTGTGGTATTTCTATCAGTTGTCATGTCCGATGATGATGAAAGTATTCTATTTCTTCGTCTCTTTCGCATGATTCCAGATATGATTCATCAGAATTCCACTGAATTCCATATCCATTGTATCTAATATTTAGATGGGCAAAAATAAAAAATGAAAATTGCTAACCGCCTTTTTAGAAGGAAAGAAACTTTTTACTACCGTTATGCTTACCAGAAGAAATGTGTGCTCAGATAATTCACTATGTCAGAACTCTACTGGCCTCGCACCTCACAGGCACTTCACACAGAATACTTGCACACTAACAGTACTCTTTCTCTCTTGCCGTCAACTGTAAACTTAGTAAAACTTGCGTCGTTGTCTAAATGTTCGATAATGGTCCCTCATTACTAGGTCACATACTATGTATTCAAAAAGTGTCACCTGGGGCATATTCATTTCCCAAAAAGTCACAGATTTTTTTCCACTATGCATAGGCGGTCCTGTATTTCTAATTGGGCCGCCAAAAATCCAGAGCTGGGTCAATGTTTGCCCAACTAAAGCCCATTCCGTTGCCCGCGATTTTCCTAAGGAAAAACAAACCGATCTCTGGAAAACCATGTGACAGTCCTCGGCCACTTAGCCCAGCAATTTATATCTTTTGTCAGCGGTCCAGGAAACCAAATACGATTGGGGGCCTCGAGTGCCTGGCTGCCTGGAAATCGTCAGTCGTAGGTTCGACGAAATCGCTGATTGCACTCAACATAATTTACGACAAATGCACGACTATTTCTTTTTCCTAGTACGACATTGACATTATGCATCGTTTGCCCATCGACCAGGCTTATGGCCATAAAATACGAATTGGGGTTTTGGCCACCGTGGATCCTATTGGCAGGCCAGACCACGTGAGAATTTTGGAAATTCGGTCTGTTCGAATCGGCTAGTGGGTATTAGGGTGCAAGCATTAAACGGTATAATTTGGTGCCACGCCACCCTATGGGGTGGACTGCTAGTTAAAGCGTCGCCACATGGAACGGACCGCGAATATCCGAGCCGCCATCAACATGTTAAACAAGCTTCAATTTGAGCTATGAATGTCATAAATTCTTCTTGCGTGAGAAGGTGTTCACTAATGATTCGCTTGAACTTTGTAGATTTGACTGTAGCTTCCCATAATCCTCCAAAATGAAGTGCTGCAGGAGAATTAAACATCTACTTAATACCTTCAGTAGAGCAATATTTATTAACTAATTCATTTTCCTTCAAAGAATTTATTACTCTTTTCAGTTTTTCCTCTGCAGCAATAACATTCGTGCCACAATCGCTATGCACCTTTTTAAGATACAAAGCACTTCGACAACAAAATAGGATATTCTTCAAGATATAGGTTTTCTTCAGAAAATTATATTCATTCAAAAACTCATCCCCTTTAACTACTCTAACAATTGCATTTAGGTAACCATTAATACTTGTTGCTGTAGATTTAGCTGAATTATTTGCAAAATAAAAACACCATGCAATGATTCTTTTCAGTTTCAAGAATGATGAAATTTCATTAAGGACTGGAATTTGTGAAACGATTGTTCCAACTGAACAAGAAATGCTTTTGCGTTGTTCTTTTAAGGACTTTTCTGAAAATGGTAAGTTGATAGAAAACGGAATGTTATTTGAACTGACCCACTGAGGTCCTGTCCACCATAAGTCATGAGTAGAAAGTTTTGAAGTCAAAAGACCTCTTGATGCGCAATCAGCAGGATTCTCTTTTCCTCTTACGTGATTCCTATGTGATGATGGTAAAACTGAATTTCCGAAACGCGGTTGGCTACGAAGTTTTGCCAGAATATGGGTTCTGATTGTATCCATGACAAAACAATCATTGAATCACTCCATGTGTAAATATTTTCAACATGAATTTGTAAGGAATTCTGCACAACTTGAACCAAATGCACTAACAGAATGGCAGAGCAGAGTTCTAAACAAAGAATAGAAATTACTTTAATGTGAGCTAAGCGAGTCTTTGATGTTAGTAGCTGCACCGAAACTGAAATATTATTTGAAGACTTAAAATAAATCACTGCGGCGTAAGCTTTCTCTCATCACAGAAACAATGAAGTTCTACATTTGTAGCTTTCGGCAATAATACTCTTCTAGGAATGGGAATGCATTCAAGATTTTCAATATCTTCACAGTGAATTTTCCATCTTTGATTGATTTCATCTGGTAATTGATCATCTCATGAGATTTGTAATTTCCATATATCTTGAAGCAAGATTTTTGCAGCAACTATGGAAGGTGCTAAGCAACCAAGTGGATCAAAGATTTTTCCAAATAGACAAAATCATTGCTTTTGTAGAATGCTCTCTGTTCTCGAGATTTTCAAAGTCGCAAGTAAACTCATCTTGCATTGGATACCACTCTAAACCCACTAATTTTAATGATTTCATATCAACAACTGTACAGGAAGAATTAGTGTTCTGGGCATTCAGTGCAGTTTTTAAAATTGAGCGATCATTTGTACACCATTTATGTAATTGAAAGTATCCTCTTTTCAAAAGTTCACTCAGTTGTGAAATCAACTCTACCATATTCTCTGCTGTATCTGAACCAAATAAGACATCAATCAATATAACGGTTATGTAATATTATCTCAGCTACCTTTGGGAATTTAGTTCTTTTGTCAACTGTTAGTTGTTTGAGCACGCGAGTAGCCAAGTATGAAGCTGAAGCAGAGCCATACGTAATTATGCACAACTTGTAAATTTTTATCGGCTTTGATGGATCATCTCTCTATGATATTTTCTGGTAATCGCGATCTTCATCATGAATTTCAACTTGTCAATATATTTTCGATAAGTCACCAGTAATGGCTATGATATAGCATCTAAACCTCAAGAGAATAGTAAATAAGTCGTCTTGCACCTTGGGACCAATCATAAGCATGTCATTAAGCAATATCCCTGATGTAGTTTTGGCACTAGCACTGAAAACGATGTGTAGTTTTGTGGTAAGACTCAGTTCCTTTAGCATGTGATGATGAGGTATGTAATAATGTTCATTTACTTTATTTAGGTTATCATCGGATAACTCTTCCATGTATCTGAGTGATAAATATTCAGACATTAAGTGTTTATATTTTTTGATATACTTCAGGAGTTTTTATTAGTTTTTGTTCCAGACTAAGAAAGTTGCAAAAGACTGATGGTCTGGAATTACCTAACACGTTTCTTTTAGGCTTGAATGGCAATTTTACTGAGTAACGACCATTTTTGCTACGGAATTTTCCACGAAATGGTTTTCACACTGTCTTTCCTCTTTAGTTAAAGGCTTCGATGTGGGAATTTGTTCCATATCCCAAAATGATTTAACTAATTCCTCAATGTTTATGTTTAGCGTATTGACTTGCACATGGTTTGGGAATTCAAAATTTGTAGTTCTAGCAAATACAAATGGGAGATTTTTGTCTCCTTTAATTACTTCACCATTGATCAAAGTAAAGAATACGTTAACTCCTAGCAAAATATCAATTTCTCCAGATTATGAAATGTAAGATCTTTTAAAATTAAATCTTGGAAGCTTTCATATAAATTCAAAGGTAATATTTCACTTGGAATGTTTCCTGTAATTTTTTCTATTATGTAAGCGAATGTAGAAATTCTGTAACTAGTATCAAAATTAGGTGTAAATAACAAGTCAACTTCTCCAGTAGTTGTTATATTGAACGTTCCTAAGCATTACACTAATATCTTAAAATCTTTCATGCGTAATCCTATAAATTGATAGCTATTTCCCGACGAATGAAGGATTTCTCACTGCCTGAATCTAGTAAATATCTATAATTTATGAATTTATTTTTTAATTTTTGAACCTTAATTAAAGTAGTACACAAAAGAACATGACTGTGTTTGCCATTAGCATGAGCTCCAAAATGGTGATTTTTCATAGTTGTTTGCACAAACAGTTGGAGAAACCTCACTCAAGTTTGTGTTCTGTTTTTATTTTTGATTTTGGAACAGACACTTGTGCTTCCGGTGAAGGAAAATTAGAATGCATTTTTTGGTTTGAAATTGTTTTCTAGGTGCAGAATGCTATGATAATGCTTAAAACAATGTTTAAAGTATTTGCTGATATTTCATCTGTTTTTAATTGATACTTACACCACAACTTTGTTGAACACACCAAGTTTTTGAAATATAATATACACTAACAAGGTATCACTAAAATTATCTATCGCAGATGCAGATTCCATTTGTATTTGTGAAACATTAAGAATTCTCTTAATATGAGCAAATATCTGTTCTCTTTTATTAGAAAATCTCTCTTCTAATAAATTCCAAGCAATACTGAAATTTTGATCAGCTATGGGAATTGACTGAATAATGCAATAAGCATCATTTTTCATCATACTGTAAAGATAAGGTATTAACAAATCATTAAATTATCGTTAGGATTTTGATATCTCCGATATTGAAAAGATGAAAGTGATTATTTTCTGAATGCTGGGTGTGGCAGAAATAACGTGAACATTTCTAAAAATCACTGTGGTGTTGCCAAAACAGATAGAGGGATGTCATCCATTCTGTTAGATATGATACATAATAACATTTTCAGTCACCATTCCTCAATTGGGTGAGCAATTGATGTTTTTTTCAAAAATGGTGAATCTGCAGTTGCAATACAGAGGCCGTTTCATACGTGGTTCCATTTACATGCTCATGAAAGCACTCCACAGTGGAAAAGAAGGTTGCTGTGTGTGTAAAGAATAAAGGCAACAGAATTTGCACTAAAGAGAAAATCACCCAATGTCCAAAAAATGTGAGAACACCCAAAGCTGTTGCTATAACGAGAGCTTTGATTTAGCTGTCTGCAATGTATTCAGCGTGGAAACATGCCTCGATTATTAAGATTTCAGGAAGAACTGCTAGAAAAACTTTGTATACTGACCTTCATTTATACCCATACAAGAATATGATTGGTCAGAAATTATCTGCAGCAGACTGGGGACAATGTATCAATTGCTGTAATGGGATCCTTGTTTGTTTGCTGAATTGGGATCCTTGCAGCTGTGCCTCTTACTGACATTCTGGGCAGTAGCAGTGAAGTCAATTTCCACCTTTTCTGGCTCCATGAACAAACAAAATTTTTGCTACTGAGCTGCTGAAAACCCTCGAGAACTCCATGATCTAAATCACTTCCTGTTCAAAAGTGGCTGTTTGGTATGCTGTCTCATATATAGGTATCATTGGGCCATACTTTTTTAAAGAGGTTGGGGTCACAGTTAATATGAATTCCAATCAATATTGCAACATGTTGAAGAAATTTTTAAACTCAAAAGTTGAAGAATATTGGAAAGACACAATCTAAACGACTTCTGGTTCCAACAGAATAAAGCTATGGCCCTCATCTAACACGTTGTTTGTTTGAAGTTTTGCAGATGCTTTCAAGTTCAGTATATCCTTATGCAAGGCAGTTCTGTGGCCACCACGCTCGCCTGATTTAAGGCTCTGTGATTTTTTCTGTTCTCAAGGGATTAGTAATGAGAGTGATGGAAAACTTCCAAATGTGTGTCAGACATCAAGGCCACCATTTTCATTTTTAAAAATTTAAAGTTAAATATTGTTTTTTTAAAAAACTGTGTTGAACTTTTTCTTGGAGCCACAGCTCCTGGTAACTTTTTGGCGAGCTAACTACAATTTCTCTTTTCATTTCCTTAATTTTGCAGCATATTGCGCAAAAATTTTTAGACTAAATTGGTCTTTTTGTATTGTACTTACAACCTAGCTTATTAATTATATATATCTATACACATTTGAGAAATAAAATGTTTTGGTGTACAGTTGCAGTTCACCTATATCTATGATCAACTAGAATGAGGTTCTACCAAACAGGTGTTTTCAAGCTTGCAGAAAATACTAAAAGTGCGTGCAAAGAAATGGAGACTGTTGAAAAGTATAGTCTTGGATTATAATGTTATGGGCTTGTCATGAGCTAAAACTTTGTTCATGAAAAACCATTGTTTATTACATTCAACATGGCCGTCCTATGTTATTTAATGCATTAAGAGAATTTGTTATGCATAATAACTAACACTTAGTAATCTTATATGTTTAGATAGTGTGTAACATATTATAATGCTGTAAAATGGTCTTTTATAACATAAATGTGCATATAGTATTTTCTGTATCTATTTTTCTTTCAGTTGTGTAGCTATCTTAACTTTTGCATTACTAGACTTGTTTTCTTTCATATATTAAAATGTACTAAAAATTGTTTTAAAATGTATTTGCAGGATAAGAAAATGTTTGCTGACAATGCAATGGTTGAAGGTTTGATCAGCAATCCTAAATGAAAATTTGTTCTCTACCACAGCATTCTATATTATTTCTCTTGTGCATTAAAAGCAGATCTGTTTGCTAAGAAGACTTCATGCTCATAGTCATTTATTTGCTGAACTGTTAAGATGCAAAAATTATTCATCTGAAAGTTTTGATGTAAAAAGGAATTGATGCTACCAGTACACCTCCCTTCTGAGATAGTTCTCTGAAAATTCCTTTGGAAACTTGCAGAGATTTAAATTATGAAGTTTGTTGTATATTTCAGATGATAATAATTTAATCTTGCAAGTAAAGAATATATAATCACCATTTTATATGATTTGAATACCTTATAAATTAGTGCAAATCATATCCGTTATATAGTTTTAAAAAGTATTAGCTCTGACAAGAAGAAAATGAATTTTAGTGAATCATATTTTATCCAGACATTGATAAATGACTATGTAAATATCACATTTACGTTAAAACAACAGTCATATCTGAATGTAGCTATACATATATGTCATAATAGAAACTTTAAAAACTGCATTTTCTCCCCAGAACTAGAAATTACAGACACTAGTTCTCCTTATCAGGTGAGAGAAAAATGGGAGCTATTTCTTAATATGCATGCAAAAGAAGTATGCAAGACACTTTGCCTCCCACCGGGTATGGATCAAGAATTAATTTATTTTATCCGATGGGTAGCGATGCATTTAATTATTTGGTGTGGAGAATGGAAAAGAGAATTTGAGATTCCTTGGGATATAACTTCACTTTTCTGGATGCCATCAGACTGGATAGGTGATCGATTAAATGAAGAGAAAATAGCTGAACGTCTAATGAATGACGATCGATTAACAGTTGATCAACGTTACAAATTGGCTTGTAATTATTGTTTAGTAGAATACATTCGTCCTTTATGGAATGAACTTCCATCAGTACTGAAAAATTTTTATGTTGAATTTAATTTGCCTTACTTTCCAACTCCATCGTTAGTTCATATATGGTCTCAAAAGATTACCGATTGCCAGTCATATGTAAATGATGAGGAATTTTTTAAAGACATATTTTTAAGTGCAGCAGAGCATGGTCCATTTGTTGCAGTCAGGTTTTCCTGGAATAAACTGAATGAAAAACCTTCGTATGAAGACCTTTATAATCAAGCATTGTGGACTACATCAAAAACTATTACATTTCAAATTTTGCCTTTCATGGATGATTTAAGTATATTATTACCCCCGTCAATAACAAAAGGTGATTTTTATTGCTTTATTCTAGCACAAATGTCTAAAGAGAATGAAGAAATGTTTGCAGCTGGTGAATTTGTGGTGCAGTCTTTTATAGAATGGCCTTGTAAAGCATTTTGTAGGATGGGCTTGTAGCATTTTGTTGGACATTGGTTTATATGCTTGAAAGCATTCACATGATTAACTATATTTAGCTTGCAGATATGAACATATATTGTTCTTGTTCATAGGTGAAAGAAAAAGCCTCTGTTATTAATGACATAAATACAGATTGAAGCAACATTCTCACATATTTGCATTAAAATGAGTAGTTTATAATGTAAAGAAAATAGTAAAAATAATGAATTAAATTGCATTACATTGATGGAGAAAAGTAAAAATGCTTTTTTTTTTTTTTTTTTTTTTTTATTCAATTCTAAATTTACTATATCAGGGAGTAGCAACTGTTTTATGTCCTTTCTGTGAATGGTATTTTTAGGCTTTTATTGTTTGCATCTTTTTAAAATAAATATTATTTTTTCTAATTAGTTATTTTGTGTTATTTTTTGTGCAGTTATTAAATTTGCTTAAGGTAATAAATAGATTGGGCATAATAATTGTGAATGTAATGCATAGCAAAAAAATAGCTAGTAGATTGTCATGAAAATTGCACTCAGTCGGGATACCTTGATAATAAACATGTGACCTGTGCTAAATAGAATGCTTGTAAGATCAAGGGTTGTAAATATGTACACGTTTTGTCAATTAAATTTCACTAGCACACTAATATTCAGTCCAGTTTGAAGCTGAAAGTTACAAAATTTAAGAATTTGTATTGTAGCAAAAAGACATTAATATTTATCATGCTATTTACGTGCACCTTCTAAGAGGTAGACTAACTCAGTGGGCGGGGCGCGTGTCACCGACATGTCTGCAAGAAAGAGTAGGGACGATCTGGTTTTACTTAACCTAAGATTTTTATTTGAAGTTTTAAATTAATCAAAATTAAGATTTGGTGAAAGGTTCAAATATTAAAATTATTTCACTATTCAAAAAGGTTTTAATATCATTATGGTGCAAAATAAGCTTTTAGACCGTAATCTGTAGAAAAAAGACATGATTATGTTTTATTCCTGGTTTACTTTAATAAGAAGATTTATCACATGGTTAACTAATTGTAAAGTAAATAAAGTGTAGAGGTGATTGAAAGTTGTAGCTTTTTATTAAAGGTTATTATTTTATATCTCATAAATAATTTGCCGTTATATCACGCGATATTCTTGTAGAAACAACAAAACTTATAATAAAATAAACATTAATAAATAATAAAATATTATGAAAATTTATCTTGAAAAAGTTAAATAATTTTAATTATTACGAAGGATTTTTTAAATAGGGGAAAATTTTAAGAGAAATGGGGGAAATCTATTTGAAATTTTATACATTTTCAGTCAGTGACCTTTCAAGAAACATGCATTACAAAATTTATTTATTTGGCCTAAAAGATATCATTTAATAATTCCTTCTATGTTTTATTTAAGTTATGTTCTTATTATTTTAGTGTTATTCTTTCTGAGTGTAATGAGTTTCCGTTGAAAAAAGATCTGAATTAGAGCCATTTATATTGTGAATTTGTCTAGGTAACATCCGGTGTAAAATTTTATAGTTCTGATACTCATTTTATCGTCGTAAACAAACATTGCAGTCCTTCATGTTGACCCTTCTGCGGAATTGTTCTTCCTTTGGATATATTACCGTATCCTTTAACCTATGCGATGTTAATCGCTTTTAAGTCGTTGCCGTTCAATTAATAAAATTAAGTTCCTAAATTGAAATTTCGCAAAAAATTTAATTTCTGGCCTCCTTATATTTTTGGTGGGATTATTGCGGATTTAGCAATTTTTTAATTTTAATGTCATTAGATGATGTTTTTCACTTGATGTTTTGCTATATTGTTTCAATTTCTAGAGTTGCTAAATTTGAATATAATAAATTCCATTTTAAAAAGCTAAATCTCCTTTATTTTAAAACTTAAATATTAAATTCTTTTTTAATTTTTAGTAAATTTTTAATATTAGAATTAAATGTTTAAGGTCACTTTGGGTAATATGATGTTTGAAATTTTATTTATTTTGAAATAAATCCTTCTTAATCTATTGCAGTCGTTGTTTTTTAAAAGAAGCGGTAAACAAACTTTAGAATAAAAAGCTGTTTTTATTTTTTTTTTTATATTAGACTTATTTACATCAATAAAAAGCATAAAAATTGGCAAGAGAAAATTGCTTGTTTGAAATTTTCTATTAGTTCAGATTTAAAATATTATTTTCTAAAAGCCGTAGTTACAAATTTCCTACATAGGAAAAGCTAAAAAAATATCCAGCCCTGAAAGCAAGAATTTTTTCCTTACTTATTTACATCAATAAAAAGCATAAAATTGCAAGAAAATTGCTGTTTGAAATTTTCTATTAGTTCAGATTTATTCTTTTAAATAGTTAAAATTTCCTTACATGCATAGGAAAGCTAAAAAAAATATCAGCCCTGAAAGCAAGGAATAGCTTTATACTTATTGGAATGCTAATTATGCTGATAAATATGCTAATTTTTTTTAAATCAATCTCAGTTTCAGAAATAAAAATATGGAGAAATTCTAATTTGTGAACTGAGGCGCTACAACCAGCTTTTTCTTGACAATTATACATGCTTCAATAGCAACCCCTGTTAAATTTCTGCAAGTCGTCCCTACTCCTCCAGATGCGATCAAGGTGACAGCCGGGAGCGCGTCAAACGAGGGAGAAAACCCATTTGGGTTGGTCTTTTTCTTATAAGGCCATGGTTATTTATCATAATCAACACATCGTGTCATGCACAAAAATAAATAAATAAAAAATCTGAAAGGTTTCAGATTTTAAATTACGTCTAAAGGAGCATTTTTTTAACATTTTGTGTGTTACCTTTACTTATTAAATATCATGTTCTTTGCACTTACACCATAAAATTCAGTTCAATAGCAATGCTGCAAATTAATTTTAAAATGACCATATCTTTAGAATTTCCAATAAACGGTTCCACGCACTGGAGATAAAAAGGTCCTCCTCCCCCGTAGAGTGTTGCCATTGCTCGCTTTTAAATTGTTTACTTTCTTACTGAAAAATTCGTTAAAGTTTTACAAAATATGAAATTTATAATAAAACAAATTCCAAATTTCAAAATTCCGAATTCCAATTTGGTCTTGCACATGCCCATATTCGCAGTAGGATTGCGTCATTCAAAATTCAATGGCTCTATGTACCGTTGTTTTATCAAATTGCAAGAAATATACATACATTTATGCAGATTTTTCATTATTTAATTTAAATGACTCTAACATTTGGTGGCAGCAGTTTGAAAAGTGATTCAATGCAAAATCTTAAAATGAAAACTATAGCCCTTCAGGGACAAAGCCCCTTTGGACTAAAGATGCTCAAATTTATACAAAAAGTAAGTTCTCTAAGTTCTTTATGCATCGTTAGTGGGCATAATGAATTTCTGACAGATCCATAATGGGTCCATATGAAGTGTGCTTCTCAATATGTATGACTTAAGAAATAAAAACATTTTGTCACGTGTCTACAAAATCATTAAATGCCTTTTATTTTTGCAGCCATTGGTTGTAGACATAAGCTTCCATTTGGAAAGGTGTTCTAAATAGCCTGAATATTAATTTTTTTAATCACCATAATCAAACAATTTGTTACTTTTTACAAAGCTTTAAATATACCTGTCCTTTATTTTAGCAACCATTGGTTGTAGATGTATACTTCCAGTTAGAAAATGCTTTAAATAATGAAAAGTTTTATGTTTTGTTTTTAAATTTAAAAGAAATCAATTTTGTAAAAATAATGAAATCTAAATTTTATCTGTTCCAGCAGTTCCCATCCTTATAGTTAGGAAAATTTTGTATTTTTATTAAAAATAAAACACAAAAAGTCTGACTATCATGTGGAAAAAATTTAAAAGTGTTTAATTTCAAAATATATGATATATGACAACAGTTTCAAATTACACCGAGGGATGAATTAGAATAATTCAAGGTATATTTTTTTGGGGGTTCCTCCAGTTCCATTCAGTCATATTCTTTTCTGGTTTACCAATGTAAACTATTCTTTAATTTATGATTTTGTTACATTATGGTATGGCAAAAGAATTTTCATGCAAGTAATGCATGAATTTTAAATGCTAAAGATGCATATTAGTATTCATATGCACTTTTATGACTTTAGAATAATTTTTTAATGGTTTATTAGTGGCCAAGTAGTTAAGTTAAGACCACTGAATATTGGTAGTAGTTCACCCTGTATTTGAGGTTAGGAGTATGGGCTGGCTGCATGGTTAATTTATGTGGTTCTCCTCATGTGTAATGTAAATAAACCCAATTCCCTTTGAAAGTCCTCTGTGAAGACATTTCTTCCCATTTGCGAATATCATTTATGTGCTTTGCCATATTCAAATAATTTTATATTTCATTTTTAATTGTTCCTTATCTGAATTCTATAAAATCCTGGGAATAAGATATTTAAAAAAAAAAAAAAAAAATTCTTCATGAGAGCTTGCATAGCAGTGTTCATCATTTAATCTCTTAACATTAAAAACTTTTTACTTAACACATCTTTCTCTAAAGACTAGCATACTCATCTTATAGGCAAATCCCACTTGAGCCTGTTGGCATTGACTTCAAATAACCCCATTAGCAGAAATCCAATGGTGTTAAATCACATGATCTAAAGGACCGATTCTCATCACCGAAACGAGAGAATACACGGCCAGGAAATATCTCATGCAGTAATTGAATTCTTTCACAGGCTATAGGGCATGTGGCACCGTCTTGTTGAAGCCACATGTCATCGACATCAATATCATCCAATTCAGGCAGAAAGAACTGTGTTATCGTGTCGCTATAACGATCACCAGTAACATTCAATGCTTGAACTAGCTTTATGGTCCAATGATGCCTCCAGCCCAAAATTGCATCCAACAGTGACATGTTAAGGATGCATTTGGTTTTTCAAAAATCACACGTGGGTTCTCTGAACCCCAAATGCACCAATATTGACGATTAACAAAGCCATCAAGGTGAAAATAGGCTTCATCGAAATTTACGAACTGCGGTCGCCAGACTTTCATTGTTTTTGAGATATATTTTAACAGTGAAAACACGTTGTACTATCGTGTAATGCTTCGTTTCTACTAACTCTAAACTATCAGCTGTCAAATCGTTTTTTATAGGGTTGCCAAAACTTTACTGAATGAATAGTGGCACATTCAAATCTTGCGTTAATTTTGGGACACCCTTTAGATGTAAAAGGGGGTTGTGACAAAAGTC